CCTCTAATGTCCCTTCAATCTTTACAACTGTTTTTTATGTTCAATTTGCGTTGTAACTCCTTAAGATTATACTTAATAATATTGAATCTTTTGTTTTGTTCCATTAATGTCAAATAATTTTTCTATAGTTCCTCTTCACTTTAATAAAAGCATTATGTTATCCATTACTTGTTTCTGTGAATATTTTAATTTAAGTTACACGCGTAGACCCTGTTTGGATGCAAAATCACTTCTTTGTGCTACAAAAAAAACCTACATGGCTATAGGTCAAAACAAGATCAACTCGATTGTTTCCACCACTGGCAACTAACAATTCACTTATAACCAAATACATCTAACCTTCTCATCGATACTCATAACGTGACACATCTTTCCCATTTCCCTCATTTTACCACATTCACATAGAACCACATTACCCTTGTATACGCCAATGCATCCCACGGAAACGATTTGAGGCGTCTTGTTTGGAATAGTATCTGTCTTCGCGGTATAACCTGGGTCTCAAAGTTCTTTGTCACGCAATCTCGTTTCGCTAAAGGCAGTAAAGGATTCGGATCTGTTGTCAAATAATGTAAGGTAGGTCAAAATATTTTCCTTTTTTATAGCTATAACGATTTGGTTCATGAGAAATGAGAGCATTTGAAAGAATAGCTCCCGACACTATTAGCAATTTTGTACATATATGTACGGCAAAAGTAAACAAATACGCACGTAAGGGAAATGTTGTAGTCAAGAAGTTCATAGCACACTTTCGTACAATAGAATGGCTTTTCCTTTTGAAAATTTACCACTGTGAAATGTAAAATCGTTTTTGGTGTTTAAACTGGCGGAAAAGGGGCGAATTTGCGCCAGAGTTTCAAGTGCTGTCTACGTTCTCGCTTGTATTCATCAACACAACTGCAAGTTCAGAGGTCGTAAATAACGCGAGTACCGTAAATGTTTTCAGTTGTGAAAACTCGCAGTTTTAATTGCCCCAGAATTTTATTTCACAGATTGATAGGGGAAGCATTGCTCTTTCTCTGGAATACCATTTTTCTAATGAAAGCCATGTACCAGGAAGGGATTTTCGCTGTTGAAAAATGGCCAAATTGATGGTCGCGATAATGCTGATTTAGAGGGTAATGCACCTATCAATGTTAAGCCGGCGGGGGGGGCAGGGCATAGGGTGGGGATTTGATTGTCTTTGTTGGCCCTGGGGTAGGGCATTTGACTGATCTTGTTCTCCCGGGGGAGGGAATATTTGAATCTTTCTTCGCCCGACGTGGGGATATTTGACTGCCGACTCGGAAGAAAGAGACTGAGACCGAGCACAATCAATCAATCAATAAACTTTATTTACCCTCGAATTTACAGTGTAGCACTCAAGTGCTAATATCTTCGAGCCGAAGCACATGTTTCCGAGCACATGTTTCCCGCTTCCACGCTTCACGAATGCGCCGTACGGTCTGGAAAATCTGGAAAATCATGGAGGCCATTAACGAGAGCAAGCGAAAGGTGAGTGGATTTCACTGTTTTGTCTTCAAATTTCGTTTGTTTTAGCGTATTTTTGTTCAGTTGAACCTTAAAAGACACTGGAGTACCAAAGGAAATGTAAGTAAAGAGAAACCAAGTAGATTTTTGCAAGTACAATTGATCAGTGTTCGGCTAATTCGCTACAATCACTGTAAACTTAATACGTTGCTCTTGTTCTTTGCAGAGCATAAAAGCGGTGAAAGTATGGAACGCAGAAAGAACTGTCAAAAAGTTTGTATTTGACGTTCAATCCTTCGAAGATTTGCTGAAAAAAGGTGCGCTGGATATCGTATTCGTGACTACTTGTGCATCGAAACAGGACAACACAATCATAGTTAAAGTATCAAAATTTTATGAACAGCATATTCAGCTTTTCTTGTATAAAATAGCTCAAGTGTATTAATATTGTTGTACCTCATACAGAAGCTTAATATTCAAAAAAGCATTGAAAATTTACGCCTGTATTTTATAAACATTTATGAAAGATCGATATTAGGGCCTCTACAAGCCGACCGTTTCAACCTTTTAGCTGTAAACAACCTGAAATTTTCCACAATGAAAAACTTCCCATCCACTTATCGTTCATTTAAGCTTATTTTTAAAAAGGGAATGCAAGTTCTTTATAGAGCAGATATTTG